AATAACATTTTTAAATTATCTAAGTGACTTATATATCATGTTTAACCTGAGTAGCCAAAGATCGCGGGGGTCTGAAAACGATTTGCCAAGACTTCGCTGTTCTCACCGGCTCTAGTGAGCCTTGAACCCCGGCTAGCTATCAAGCTGGTGGGTAACAGACGTCTCTGAAAACGTCGGAACACTTTTGCAAATATGTGATGTCTTCATAAACTGAGCAGATATTTGAAGTTTGCACATTCTCGACTGAAAATATCTTAAAAGTTTATTTTGTGACCCAGAAAGAATAATTAGGGTAATATTTAAACTAAATAGCTGCCGCCATTTATGGAAACTGGGCCGCGCTATGAATTCTGGGATATGCTGGCCATGAAGGATACACCTGACCTGATTCCCTTCTGCTACAGATCGGGTAGTGACACCTTCAAATCTGGGGAAATGAAGGACACATTTTTTGGCCGCATTTGGAAGCGTCTTTGAATTTGGACAGCCTTCATCACACCGCTGTAACGTAATCGTAAGCCTACAAATGCGGCCTCTGAAGGATGTGGACCCTGAATTTGGACACAGCTACGATCTTGGGGACTGCTTCTTCTTCTTCTTTGGGGTGTAACGGCAGCTTACACTCTTGAATCCTACTTATTCCTGCGTCTTTCAGGATCTTGCAAAGCTTCAAACGACGCGTTGACTATTTAATAAGTCGTCAACGATTTTGATAGTTGGCGTAATCATGACTAGTTGACTAATCGTGGCAGCCCTACTACCTTTAGGTATCGGGATGATATCCTTGGACTCATTATCAGATGTTATGCTGGTGCAGTGGATAATATGGTGATTATAAACTGGCAGTTACTCGAGGATGAAGGAATTGATACCACTGAGTGGTCCCCATGCTAACCTAGGATCCTGTCTCCCTGGACACATTTTCTTTAAATTCAGTTAATCATTTTAATTTCCATCAAACATTTTGGCATCCTTTCATTCCTAACACAGTCCACATCAATACAGATATGATTTTTTCCCTATTG